TAACTTGCATCTACATTGGTTTTGATGTAAGGCTGACACGGTGGTGCCCATCGAACAATAGCATGCTTGTGAGGGTGGTGTAGGGCCGTTGAGATGGTTAACAACTCTCTACAATGGCTCCGGATGAAGGCAATTAAAGACTCCACGGTTTGTGTATTCCTTTCATAGACCAACTTGATTCTTGAAATCCTTAGTGCTCTTGTATTGCACTTCAGAAGAGTTAGGTTATCAATGGGTTTGAGTTGATGACCGAAAAACTTCTTTTTCTCGATCTTGGTTTGAGTTAGGTTAGCTTTTAATTTTAATTGGAATTTGAGGAGATTATAAGGTTTTCCAATGAGTTTAAACCAAACGAACGAAAGAGTATAAGAAAATGAAGAGTAGTTCAATGATATTTTCGACTAGAGAAACCATCGAATGAAGACAAAAACAACAACAAGAGGAGTAGTGCCTGCATGTTTCAAGTACGAGAAACTTAGGAAATTTTAAGGAGAGAAGATGAGTTTAACATATCATGTAAGTATTTTTTTTAATGACAATTGACGGAAATAATTGTAATGAAAGTTAATTATAAGTTTGATCAATTACAAATTTTAAAAGTTCAATGACCAAAATGTAAGTGTCCTAAAAGTTTGGAGATCATTTACACAATTGACCTATTTTTTTAAGTTATTATAATCTATAGAATTCATACACTTTGAATACATCAAATACAAATTCATTAGTTATTTATCTAATACACAACGATGAAAGATTATCGAACTTATATCATTTTATATAAAATCTTCACTATATTTTTTCTCATCTCATGATTAAATAATTAAATAATATTATTTTTATGTCCAAACTGATATTTTTCTTATTCATCTTTTTGCGATAATGAGATATTAATATTGTGTTTTCGCAAGCTCATAGCTTATGAAAGGCCTGGGTAGTTTCAAGTAGTCGGGTTAAAATGCATCATATATCCTTAAAATTTAATACAAATTGTAATTTACTTTTCTGTATTTATATATATGTGAAAAGGAAATTTTAAATTTTGAAATATTTAGTAAAAATTAATAATATTAAATCATATTTATAAAAAATAATAAAGGAATGATGAAAAGGAAAAAGGAAAAGAAATAAAGTATGGAAAAACATACAAGTGTTGTGAAGCCACATTATGATATATGCTACCGCTTGATATCTTACGGAAAAGTGAATGGAAATATTGATATGACCTAATTAGAATATTACTGATAATTTGAGGATTCAATTAAATAAATAAATAAATCTTAGAGACATTCTTGAAATTAATTTTAGAAAAATTAAACTACTGTAAGAGGACTCAATTAAAATTTTAAAACAATCTACTAAATCAGACATAATTATTGCTCCAATCTTCTCCCTCGTTCAGTCCTCATATCAAATCCTATGTATTTAGCAATTTGATATTGAATTCCTTCACATCAGTACAGTTCTTCTAAATTAAGAGGGAATCCTTTTTAGTTTTTCACAACTCGACAACTCCAACAGTCTTAGATTTTCTAAATTATCAATTTCATTCGGCAATTCAACAATGGTAGATCGAATTAAAGAAAGACAACATCAGATTTAAAAGTTTTAATTGCAAAAATTCAAATCTTAATGAATGGTCTAATTTGCACTAATCTGATTGAGTTCTAAGAAGAAAATCAACTACATTGAGAATAGACCTTAACACTCGTTGACATTGTAGTTTCTAGAATTCAACTTGTCACAGCAATAAATTGATTTGCAATTGCATGTAAACGATCTGTACAGCGTACATCAAGATTTTTCTGATAAGATGAGTTCCATAAATAAAGTGGCAGTGCAAATATCTGCAGAAAAGCCCTTGCCGACCATTTCTGCAAGAAGATGTGTTGCCTTTGAGGTATCACCGTTTCGAAGAAACCCCCGAATCATTACATTATAACAACAGCTATTAGGAGAACAACCATTATCTCCCATGCTCCTAAACAATTGGTGTGCTTCATCCGCCAATCTCTCTTTAGACAATTCATTAATCATTATTGTATATGTGTAGACATTTGGTTCTAAACCACTGAATGAGAGTTCATGAAATAATTCCTTCGCGACATCAATATGCCCAACTTTGCACAACCCATCAATCAGGATATTATAAGAGACAATATTAAGTTTCAACCCGTTGTTCCGCATTGCTTGAAAAAGTTTCAGTGCCTCCTTGAGTTTACTTGTTTTGCATAAACCATTCAACAAAATCGAACATGTCACTAGATCCGGTACTTGTCCAGAAGCAAGCATCTTCCTCAAAAAATCACATGCAGTTGAAACTTTTCCCAACTGAAACATACATTGCAAAAGAGTGTTGCATGTGACAATATCCGGTATTGGTCCTTTCCGATATATTTCATGAAAGAGTTCCATTGCCTCGTCTAATCTTTTAGCTTTGCAATACCCATTGATCATTGTGTTGTAACTAACTAGATTAGGTGCACAACCCATCTCAATCATCAACCGCAAAACTCCTCTGGCTTTATCCACTTTGTTTCCCAAGCAATAGCCGTTTACTAATGCAGTATAGGTAATAACATTAGGCTCAATGCCTTCCTTTATCATGCTGTCAATGATATGCTCAGCTTCAGAAACCATACCTTCCTTGCAATGTGCATCGATCAATGCATTATATGTGACTACATCAGGCTCAATGCCTTGTTTTCTCATTGTGTTAACAGTATTTATTGCTTCAAAAACCATCCCTTCCTTGCAATGTGCATCGATCAATATATTATACGTGATACTATTAAGGGAAATATTGTTATCCACCATTTCATTCAATAGCCTTGTTGCCTCCTTCTGCTGGCCCGAATTACACATACCGTGAACTAAACAATTGTAAGTAACGGTATCTGGTCTAATGCCCTTAACCTTCACTTCGGAGAAGAGATCGAGAGCCTCCTTTATCAACCCGTTCTTACAAAGACAGTCTATGACAGTGCTGTATGCTACAATATTGGGCTCGAAACCTAGTCCTTCCATCATCCTTAGAAATCTAACAGCTTTATCAGTACTTTCGATCTTACACAAACCATTAAGAACTGTGCTGTAAACAATTAAATTAGGTCGATACCCTTTTTCAACCATTTCATCAAACAAACCCACAGCCTGAAAAATCTTACTTTGCTTACAAAGTCCATTAATCAGAGTGGAGAAAGTTACAATATCAGGTTCAACACCTAACTTGAGCATTTTCCCCAAAACAGAATACCCAAAATCAACCCGACCTAATTGAGAAAAGCAATTAATCAAGATGTTAAAAGAATAAACATTATAGTAAACTCCTAGAAATTCCATCCGCCTACACATGGAAATGACAAGGGCATAATGTTTCATCCTAACAACGGCAGCTAATAATTTAGTGAATTCCACGATGGAAGGCTTTGGATACTGCTCAATCATCTTGTCAAACACGATCAAAGCATCACCAACACTGTGGAAATTATCATATTTTTTTCGCTTTCCACTTACAGAGATGGATTTCTTATGTAAAGCATCGATGTGGGTAGCAAAGGGGTTAACATAAGAAGAAAAAGAAGCGTGGGAATCAGAAAGAATCCTTCCACCATTGACAACAGAACGAAGAATTAGAGAAGAGTTAAGCTTACCCATGTCTTGAAATGGAAAAGCAAGAGCTGAGATTGAAACCAAACCACAGAAGGGGGCGGCAGCAGCAGAAGAAGTAATGTTGCGGTCTCGACTGTAAAGAAATAGAAAAGAGTTAAAGAACAGCCATCCCCAACACAACACAATTTTATTTTATTGTTGATAATTTTTTAAGATTTGAAATAATTTATAATATTTAATTTTGTTATTTTTTAGGAATATATTTTATCATTTTAAAAAAATATTTCATTAAGAAAAATAGAAGATCTTTCAAAAGTGACAATACCAATACCAAAGCTACATAAATTTTCCCAAGTACTTGTTGGTAATGGCAGGTGTAGGAGGTTATTTGGCATTGGCATTGGCATTGGCATAGGTCTTGTTTAGGCATTCTTGGTTATAATATATATGAATTTTAAGAGAATTTTTCATGTATAAATTATACTTTTTTTTGTTTATTTTAGGTGTCTAAAATATTTGTTGAAATAGAAACTAATATTCTCGACGTTATTGTTTTATGTGTTTGATTTACACGATCGTTAAATAAAACTTTTATCTAACACGTGTAATACTTATAAAATTTTAAAATTCTTTAAAAATAATTTTAATACTCTAATTCCAAATCCTCATTACCGACCATTGTCAGTCACCACCTCTACAGTTGATGTAGTTGAACAACCACCCAATTATCACCGGTAGTCACCGATTTCATCATCGTTTATGATTTCATTGCAAAACCCCCAAACTATTGTTTTTGGTATTAATCTCATTTTTAATTTAAATTATACGTGAAATGAATAAAATAAAGAAAATGAAAACTACCCATCTTGATCTTGACGAGTTTCTAATAAATGAAATGATTATTGATCAATCCCGACGATAGAAAATCTCTCTTTGGTCAGAAGATTAACATATTTATATTTTAAGTTGATTTGACGATTGACAGTGGCATATCTAAAAAATTTAGCTTGTAGTTTTAATTGGAATTTAAGGAGATTTGAAGGTTTTCCAATGAGTTTAAACCGAACGAACGAAAGAGTAGAAGAAAAAGAAGAGTTGTTCAATGATCTTTTCGACTAGAGAAACCATCGAATGAAGACAAAAACAACTATAAGAGTAGTGCCGGCCAGTTTCAAGTATTTTTTTAATGACAATTGACGGAAATAATTGTAATGAAAGTTAATTATAAGTTCGATCAATTACAAATTACTAATCTGATTGAGTTCTAAGAAGAAAATCAACTACATTGAGAATAGACCTTAACACTCATTGACATTGTAGTTTCTAGAATTCAACTTATCACAGCAATAAATTGATTTGCAATTGCATGTAAACGATCTGTACAGCCTACATCAAGATTTTTCTGATAAGATGAGTTCCATAAATAAAGTGGCAGTGCAAATATCTGCAGAAAAGCCCTTGCCGCCCATTTCTGCAAGAAGATGTGTTGCCTTTGAGGTATCACCGTTTCGAAGAAACCCCCAAATCATTACATTATAACAACAGCTATTAGGAGAACAACCATTATCTCCCATGCTCCTAAACAATTGGTGTGCTTCATCTGCCAATCTCTCTTTAGACAATTCATTAATCATTATTGTATATGTGTAGACATCTGGTTCTAAACCATTGAATGAGAGTTCATGAAATAATTCCTTCGCGACATCAATATGCCCAACTTTGCACAACCCATCAATCAGAATATTATAAGAGACAATATTAAGTTTCAACCCGCTGTTCCGCATTGCTTGAAAAAGTTTCAGTGCCTCCTTGAGTTTACTTGTTTTGCATAAACCATTCAACAAAATCGAACATGTCACTAGTGTCGTAACCGGATTTCGTCCGAGCAAGAAATTTTTTATTTGACGGGAAAAGTGATGTGAATAAATGGTTTTGAAAATAATTTGGGAGTCGCCATCGACCTTTTGGGTCAGGTAGGTCGAATACCTAAAAATTATTTTTTAAAAGAGTTTTAAGAAAACATCAATTAAAAAATGAACTGATCTGCGTTTATAACCAAAAATTCGTTCTTTTTAATAATAAAAAGGGATTCGTGGTCGGTTACGTTTAGGGAAGGACTAGCACCCCTACAACGCCCAAAATTAGTACTTTTTAATTATAAATTGTCTCTATTATTAAAAATTTAAAAATTCAAAATATATTTAATTTATAATCCTATTATTTCAAAATTTTAAGAAAATATATTAATATATAAATAAGATATTTACTTATTTAAAAATATCAGAAAAGGGCTTCTAGGTGCTTTAAGACAGCTCTTTTCTTTGATATTAATAAATAAATAACTAAAAATGTAAAAATTTAAAAGTAAAATAATTTAAGTAAAATTAAATTATAATATTTAATTATTTAAAATACCAGAATAGGACATCCAGTTATATCAAGACTGTCCTTTTCTTCGATATTAAAAATAAATAAACATTATTAATTTATAAAATTAATCAAATAATATATATTAATAAAAATAAAATAATAATACTAATTAAAAAATTAAACATATAAAATTAAAATATATTTAAACAATAATTAAAATAAAATTAAAACTAAATATAAAAAGTAATAAAACTTGTAATTAAATAAAAGTATTAAAATTAGTGACTACATTATAACATATTGAAATTAAATACTCTAATTCGTAATTAATTATTTAATATTCCAGTGGCTAAACATGCTATTTTATGCATTTATTAATTTAGTGACTAAAATAATAATTATTAAAACATAAGGGACTAAATTTATTATTTATCCTAAAGATATATAAACTGATAATGACTAAAATGGGTATTTACCCTAAATATTATATAAGCAGGCAAGGATTAAATTATAAATTAAATAAAATTACAAAACCGAATTAAAATGATTAAAAATCAATTTCAGTGACTAAATTGCAAAGTTACAAATATAGAGGGCTGCAGAAAGGGTTTTACCCTTGAGGGTAAAATGAGTTGTATTTTTAGTTGTTTTATTAATTCTTTCTTGATTTGTTTCATTATTGTGAATGAATTTCTCAATCATTTTTTTTGTTGATTCAGGAAAAAGTTGTGTATTGGTTCTTGGAATATTAATGATATATAGAAGAATATCTATGTATATCTTTTCAATGAAAAATTTTATAAAAAAATAGAATTTACGGATTAATCGAATATTTCTTCTTTTTAATATTTGCCAATTTTTTTTGATGATTCTAATATTTTATCCCGATAACTTATTTTGTTAGAAATAATATTTATTTCTTGAGTTAGAAATTCGTTTTTCTTGTCTTTTATAATTCTAATTTTTTCTATTTGATTTTTGATTGTGTTTGTTCTCGTAGTCAGATCCTTTATTTTTTTTTCTATTAATGAATAATTTGTTCGCTCCATAGATTGAATTTGAAGGGATGATTTGCGAATCATCTTATTACTGATTAGCGAATCCTTTTTAGTTTCGCCCAATTCATATATTTCTCTCAACCCAAAAAATGGAATTGGATTTATTTTTGAAAGTTCTTTTATTATTCCCTTTAGAAATAGAATACTTTGAGCGAACCCTTTTTTTGGGAGAGGGCATTTAAACCCAACTCAGGCTGGCCCTTCGGGCCATTCCCTCATTTTCTTCTTTCTCTCATCTCTCTCTAACTGAGAGAGGAAACTTTTATCTCGCTTCTCTCTAAATTCCTCCTATCGGAGGTGATCTCCAGCAGCCGCCAACCACCATACTCTGGTGGTGATCACCGCCGTCGCCGGCCACCGTACATGGTGGCCGGAATTTACTAATATACACCAAATCAAAGCCCCGGTTATCCTAAAGTTAAATCCAGGGTTATCTTAACCTAAAAATCTACCTAACGTCGTAGATCTAGCCTTTTTTACCTTCAACCTTTCGGTTTTACGGTCGCACAAGGAGGCTCCGATGACTGCAAGTTCTTCGGTAAGTTTCTTTCCTCTCTTTTCCTACGATATTTAGCTGCTGTGGTTGCTTGTTATTCGTTCGGCTCTCCCGTTTTCGCCGTGGTCTCTTCTCTCGTGGCTGTAGTTCTTGCTCTGTCTCTTTTTTTTCTGTTTGTTGTTGTTTTTTTTTCTTTTGTTTTGCAGGATCTGGTGGCTTTTATAGCCACCACCGAGCCATGCTCGGACCGGTCTAGAGGGGGAAGTTCGGTGAGTCACCGAGCTATGTGGTGACTCACCCCATAGCCGTGACATGTGGGGAGCAGCTAGCCTTCTGGAGCCTTCTGGCGAGGGCGGCGGCAGCTGGAACGTCTGGAAGCAACGGCGGCGGCCACGTGGTTGTTCTGGAATCTTGGAGGAGGCTGGGAATCACTGGAAACGGCTGGCTGCTAGGGTTAGAAACCCTAGGGTTTTCAATCTGGAACCCTTTTGGGCTGTTAGATCTTGCCAGATCCAACGACTGATGATGTTGACGGCTGCTGGAAATGATACAAACCCTAGAAGGGTTTGGGTCGTCTTTTGGGCCGGTTCTGGTTGGATTTGAGCATGTAAACGGGCTCTGTGTTTTGGGCCTTGGGTATTTGTAATTATTTTTTTATAATAATATTTAATAATATTATTAATAATAAAATATAATAATAATAATAATAATAATTTTAATAATAAAAATAATAAAACGAAATGAAAAAATTAGTGTTTACAGCTGCCCCTCTTTGCTCATTCTTGTGTTAACAAAAATGGAGCAAAGACAAAAAAACAATAATTTTTTCATTTAACTTCTTTTGAGTAGAATGGAAATATTGAAAACATCATGCACTGTAGGTCTTACAGATGACCCTGAGGGTTTGAAACATCAAAAAGCTCCCGAAGGCTTTTTGAAAACATCATGCACTGTAAGACTTACAGATGACCCGAAGGTTTTGAAAATATCATGCACTGAAGGGCTTATAGATGACCCGAAGGTTTTGAAAACATCATGCACTAAAGGGCTTACAGATGACCCGAAGGTTTTGAAAACATCATGCACTGAAGGGCTTACAGATGACCCGAAGGTTTTGAAAACATCATGCACTGAAGGGCTTACAGATGACCCGAAGGTTTTGAAAACATCATGCACTGAAGGGCTTACAGATGACCCGAAGGTTTTGAAAACATCATGCACTGAAGGGCTTACAGATGACCCGAAAGTTTTGAAAACATCATGCACTGAAGGGCTTACAGATGACCCGAAGGTTTTGAAAACATCATGCACTGAAGGCTTACAGATGACCCGAAGGTTTTGAAAACATCATGCACTGAAGGGCTTACAGATGACCCGAAGGTTTTGAAAACATCATGCACTGAAGGGCTTACAGATGACCCGAAGGTTTTGAAAACATCATGCACTGAAGGGCTTACAGATGACCCGAAGGTTTTGAAAACATCATGCACTGAAGGGCTTACAGATGTTTCTTACTTTTCAACAATTTCATTTTTAGAAAAGATTAAATGAGAAACTAGGAAAATCGTTTTCTCATTCTGTTTTTCAAAATAACATGTTGATTGGGTAAAATGCCCCAATCTCAAGATAAGGCTGTTAGAAATAGTTTACTAAGTAAAAAACTAAGAAAATCGTTTTCTTACTTTTCAACAATTTCATTTTAGAAAAGATAAAATGAGAAACTATGAAAATCGTTTTCTCATTCTGTTTTTTGAAATAACATGTTGATTGGGTAACATGCCCCAATCTCAAGATAATGCTCATTTTTGTGGATTACGTCCATCTATTCTTCAGATGTTTATGTGATTCATGTATTTACGGTTTTGAATACCTTCTTCTTGTAAGGTATTTCTTCCCATGAATCTTCTTGTTCTTCCGAAGATCTGTAAAACTTCATGTTTGAATGCACTCAGATGTATCAATGTAATGCATTGTATGTTGTGCAAATGATGTTCTTATGAATGCATGAATGTTGATGCAATCTTCATTTGACTTCAAAGTGGTAAACTTGGTATTCCTTCACTTCATCATTTATTGCCAGGGTTACCTCTAGATATCAGTGTAGAAATTTATGCTATCAAGCTTGCATTTCTGCAGAATCATCTGATCAACTTGTATCGTGGTACCTTCTTTGCTTCATTTAAGTCTTAGAAGAAATGTTTCATTTGTGGAACTCTTGTCGTAGTCAAAATTATGACCCTGATGTCCCATTTTGTCTTGGATAAAACCAACTTTATTTGCTTGGACTTGTGTAGAAATCCCATAAAGCTTTCATCTTTGAAAAGAGAATCTATCATCTTTGAAGAGTGTAGATGTAGATATGTGACTCGGCGGGGATTAATTAGGGGAGTAGAGTCTGTTCTGATTTGACTCTTGAAACACATCATAAGGAAGATTTATTCCAATTCCTTTCATGTCTCCACATTTAATTGGTTCTCGAACAAGGCAACTTGAACCATATCATGTCGAGATGCTTAACCACAACCTGTCATTCAAATAGTTTCTTGTTGTTAAAATTTCTGCTTTCCTTATGTGGAAAGAAATCTTCACTATATCTTACTTCTAATCTTGGGATTGAAGAAGACAGATTTCATCTTGGATCAATAAATAGAAACCATATGATCGTAACATTAGTTCAACATCAGAATAGCAGGTTCGTAAAACATTTGACAATGCATTCATCCTTTCCTGTGGCTTCTGCTCAGATGTTCGTAAAATATTTGACAACACATTCATCCTTTCCTGTGGTTTTTGCTCAGATTTCTCAATCATTTAAGCTCTTTGCCTAATGTTCAAAGCTTTTGAATAACGTCACAAGACC